CAGTCTAGCTAAGCAGCTAAATTGCCAAGGCTGGGCTCCAACTAGTGGTCCTCCTGCTTCATCCTCCCAAAATGCTAGTATTAATAGGCATGCTCCTCCATGCTTGGCTTTAGTATTCAATATCTTTTAATCCATTTTTTCCTTAAAAATATGTTACTTAGGTCACTATCTCTAAGCTTACTTTCTAGGATTTAGTTTCCATTTGGTTTAAGATTTCATATTAAAAAGACTGACAGGGCCGGGGATTTAGCTCGGTGGTTTTGACGCCTGCTGCCCAAGCACAAGGACCCAAGTTCGATCCCTGGTACCAAAAAAAAAAAAAAAGAAAGACACATTTGTAAAAATTATTGTGCCTTATTTCCTTTCCTTTTCTTTTTTTTCTCCTTCCTTCCTTGCTTCTTTCCTTGGTTTTGATCTTATGGAATAGGGTCTCACTATTTAGTCCTGGTTGGCCTTGAGCTCATTATGTAGACCAGGCTGGCCTCAAACTCACAAATCTCCTGCCTCAGCCTACTGAGTACTGGAGTTACAAGTATGTATTACCATAAATACTGGCTAAAATACTAGGATTACAACATTTACTCATCACCACTGATTTTTTTTGTTGTTTTGGTACTGGGGATAGAACTCGGGACCTTGCGCTTGCGAGGCAGGCGGCGGAACCACTGAGCTAAATCCTCACCCCATCATCACTGAATTTTAACTCCATATGTTTTTATTTTTTGAGACAAGGTCTTGTTATGTAGCCCAGGCTGTCCTCAAATTTGTGATGATCCTCCTGCCTCAGCCTCCCAAATGCTGGGCTTACAGGTATATGCCACCATGCCTGGCTTTAACTCTTTCTAAAGTAAATATTTGTATTTCTAGTAAAATGTGTTCATAACACCTATGATGACACTCTATTTCCTGAATGAATAAAGATTTAGAGTGATCTATTAAAATAGGTAATGGCTCTCTGCCCCGCCCCCTCCTCGCCCCCTCCATGCGTCCCCCCCCGGGGGGGGGAAATATATATATATATATATATATATGAAATAGAATAGGTAACATTCCCTGAATTCAATAAATACAAAGATAGATAATATGCAGCAGCCCTACTTCGTATGATCCTAGAAATTTTATTTTTAAAACTATTAAATACCAATTTCTTTGCAGCCAGGCATGATGGCACATGCCTGTAATCCCAGCACTCAAGAGGCTGAGGCAGAAGGATCACACAGAGTTCAAGACCAGCCTGAACTTGAGTGAGACCCTGTCTCAAAATAAAACAAAAAATTTAAAATTAAAGAAATGAAAAATACATACTTTTCTGTGCAACGCTCGGAGGGCTCACCTGCCTGCCCGGCAGCCTGGATCATGGCCACCCCTCTACCTCAGGTGGCTCACCCATTCTGCAGGCACTGCTGTTGTCACAGTCCCTCTTCAGGCTCCTCCACGTGGGCACGTTCATAGCTTCTCTCCAGCTTATTATATGTGCCAGTTGCTCTTTTGGGGAGAGCTGGGACCCAATTTTGAGGACTTTTTTGGGTATTTTTAAATTCCAGTCCTTCCTTCCCTATACAACATCGCAGCTTCTGTGGTGGCTGCTTAGTCTTCCCAGCTCTGAGTGTCTTAGAAGTGTCTGGTGCATGTAGACAGTCTCAGTTGCCCTGATGCAATGAAAAGTAGATAACTCACAATGCTTGACACAAGCAGCACAGCTCCAGGTTTTGCTGATAAATTAAGTCCCCAAACCACAAGGTATCAGAGGTCAGGTGCTCTTCTGCTTATGACCAGGTTGTGTCTCAATAAACTCCTCTTAAACTGAAAATACCATACATTGAAAATGCATTTACTATGAACAACATACTGAACATTGGTCCTTTCTCCTCCTGTTCCTCCACTCCCCCACCTCCTCCTTCTTCGTCCTCTTTCTTCTCTTTGAAACAGGATCTCGCCGTGTAGCCCAGGCTGGCCTTAAACTCACAGTGATCCTCCTGCCTCAGCCTCCCAAGTGCTGGGATCACAGGCATGCACTAGCACACCTGGCTCAGATTAGGTTCTTAAACATCCTTTTTCTTTTTTTTCAATGTGAGAAGCTAACATGAAAACTAAGCAATAGGTGATAGTTCAGATGATTTAGAAAGACTATAAAGATATTGAGAAATGCTGGGCATGGCGGCACATGCCTGTAATCCCAGCACTCAGGGGCCTGAGACAGGAGGATTGCTTTGAGTTCGAGGCTAGCCTGGGTTGTATAGCACGACCCAGGCTCAAAAAAAAAAAAAAAAAAAAAAGAAAGAAATTGCTAGACTCTGACATTGAAAGTTGATCTCTCAGGGGTTTCTTTCTTTCTTTCTTTCTTTCTTTTTTCTTTGATACTGGTGTTCAAACTCGGGACCTTGCACTTCCAAGGCAGGCAGTGGAACCACTGAGCTAAATCCCCAGACATGAAAGTTGATGTCTCAGGATTGGATTTTGGTTGTAAGAAAGTTTTTGTTAATTTTTGGTTTTGGTTTGTTTATTTGGCAATGTTAAAGTTTAGACCCAGAGCCTTCTAACTGAGCTACATCTCCACCCCTTTCTGTTTAGTTGTTTTTGTTTTCTTTTGTTGTTTTGAGACAGGGTCTCACTATGTAGTCCAGACTGCTCTTGCACTCACTATGTATCCTGGGCTGGCCTAAAACTCATGGCAATCCACCTGCCTCAGCCTCCTGAGTCCTAGGACTACAGGTGTATGCCACCTATTTGGTGATTTCTGTGTGTTTAGAAAGGTTTTATTAATACAGGTAAACTAAACCTTTTATTTATTATTCCTACAATATTCTGCAAACATTTTCAATACAAGGAGGAAAAGCCCAGGAGAAATAAAGGTAGCTTTATACAACTTTGTTTATCCATACTTCCTAAGATGTTAAAAGACAGCTGTCCATAAAAATCAAAGGGATCATGCTGGAGCACTTGCCTACTGTGTGGAAGGCTTGATCCCCCAGACCACACAGTATTTCCAGGTAGTTATTTAATGAATTTATATGGGGTTGCCTGTGTTTGACTTCTGGAAATGCCCCCCCTTCACACACACACACACTTTTTCCAAGACAGGGTCTCACTATGTGGTTCAGGCTGGCCTTGAACTCACTGTGTTGCCCAGGTTGACCTGCAACTCACAGGGACGCTCCTGCTTCAGCTTCCAAAGTGCTAGGATTATAAGCGTGAGCCACCATGCCTGGCAACTTCTGAAATTTGATCTTCACATATGAAAGACCATTTTAAAATATATACAACCGAAAAATTTAGCAAAATTCACTTTTATGCAAATGTAATTTTTCCCAATTGTATGTCCTTCAACTTTTTCTGTTTGTTTGTTTTTGGTACCAGGGATCGAACTCAAGACCTTGCACTTGTGAGGCAGGCATGGTGCCACTGAGCTAAATCCCTGGCCCTAACTTTTCTTTCTTTCTTTCTTTCTTTCTTTCTTTCTTTCTTTCTTTCTTTCTTTCTTTCTTTCTTTCTTTCTTTTTTTAACTCAGAGCTTCATGCATGCTAAGCACATTGAGTGCCACTGAGCTAAATACTCAACATTTGTCTTTTTAAAAAAAACTTTTAAAATCTAAAATATGAGCTAGGTGTGGTGGCACATGCCTATAATCCCAGCACTTGGGAGGCTGAGGCAGGAAGATAACCCTGAGTTCAAGTCCAGCCTAGGCTACATAGTGAGACCCTGTCTCAAAATCAATCAATCATCAATCAACTCATTATGAAAACATTGTTCTTTAATATAAAATGTTGATGTTCTAGGATTATTAGAACACAAAAATAATTACAAGCCTATTTCTGTGAGTTAATCACTTGAAACATAAACTATAAAATGAGGTTGGTATCTGGCTCTTGCATTTATTAGGTCGATCAATGTGCATCTTACCCTGGGTAAGATGAGGTTGATGTTTCTTATTTCATAACAATATTTCAAGGATCTAACAAAGTTATGAATTAAGTGCTTTATAAACTATAGGACGTAGGGCCCGGGATTTAGCGCAGTGGTTCCAGTGCCTGCATCAAAAGCTCAGGGTCCTGAGTTCGATCCCCAGGACCAAAAAAAACCCAACAAAACTATAGGACATTAAATTAAATATTTTTACATTGTATCTAAGAGGGAATTATGACTTTTGCAAGATATCTTTACTATCACATAGTTTGTGTCTAAGCATAGATTCAACTCGCAGGAAGCAGAGTGGGCGCCTGTCTGACAGAGGAATAACACAGAAGAAATTAATCAACAGTTAGAGCCACGCTACAGTGGAGACAGTGTAATCACTCGTCCAATTCTTAATACAAAGGAAGTGGAAACGTGAGTCTAGAGGGGGAACTATCAAAGGTTCTCTTTATGAAGAGTGAAACTTTGAAATCCATCTATTTAAGATTAATCACTATTCTTTCAGTTAAGCTGTTGTCATCTCCAACTTTCCTTGAGTAGAAAATACTCTCTACTTCCAACCAAGTTATTCATGGTCCAATTTGTCCTGAGAATACTATAATAGGCTTTGCGAAGATAAGTTTTATAATAGGGATTTAACGGAGTGAGAAGCCGGGACAGAGGCCTCCGACACAAAGCGCATGTGTGGGTCTCGGGCTAGGTCCCCTCCCTGTCCTCTGTCACCCACCGGCTGCTCTCCCTAAGGGAAATCCTCCCTGAGCATCTGATTCCCGGCGGCCGGCGGGATGCAGAGGACACGGTTTTTCCCCTGCATGTTGCTCCACCGGAGCTGAGAGAAGGGGAAAGTGCGGTAAATACCCCTGAAGGGGGCGCGGGAGGGGCCCACCCCCCTCCCTGCTGTCCCTCAAGGCCGCATTAGGACCACAGCTCAGCTCCTTGGGAAAATAAAACTTAGAGTGGCCTCCTGGAAAAAGAGGGAAAAGAAAGAGTCATTGAGAATTTGTACATAATAGTTTTATTTTCCAAGCTTTTGATACCTTCAAACTGTTGAAAGTATAGGAAGCTACTCAGAGATGCCACTTTTACGTTTTCTCCTCCCTAATGTCTCTTTCCATGTTTTTTTTTTTTTCTTTTTTCCTCTCATTTGTATCCAAATGAAGAACTGGTATTTGTTTTACAAATTAGCAAAGGACCCGGAGTGCAACAAGTTCATCTTCATTCTTGACTTTTTCTCGCTTTTTTCAGGGAGGGTGTCGAAGTTCCTTGTTTTCCCATTTTAGATTTGGCTTTCTTTTTTCTTATTTTTCCATTTTAAACACTTCAAGAGATACACACAATTTTAGTACTGAAAAATACTGGAAACTCTTCACCTATCGATATTTGTAATAATTAGCTTCCCTTTTCTACACATTTTACTACTTCCACACTACACTTCTATTGTTGCAAATCTGCCTATCTCATTTGCCTATTTGTAACAAAGTACATAAAAGGCTAGCCGGAGCGTGGCTTAGAATACAAACTTCCATTTAAAGACCCCATAGATCACATAGGAATACTGTAACAAAACACAAACACATTTTTCAGTAAAAAAATTTTTTTAAACAGATTTCTTAATTATGCCCTAATGTGTTTGTAATGATGTCTGGCTCGCACCTCCTTCCGAGCTCCCGAACTGTTTATCCTGTCCCCAATAACACTCAGCGGATAGCTGTCACTCCTGGCTAAATCCTCGCTTAGGGTGGATGCTATTCCTCCTCGAGACAGGGTCAGGGGGTCACAATCGATTTCGGAGGCCACCTGGAGAGTCTAGGCCACGAACTGACTTAAAAAATTTATATCAGAGGCGGAAGGGTCCCCTCTCAGGGCCGGATCAGCCCCACACCCCCAGCGCAGGCCCGGGCTGCGGCAGGAGGGCTGGGCTGCTGACCCCGCCCGCTGACCTCTTCAAACTTCAGGAGAATTTTTTTGGCAGTTACCACGGTGACTGGTTACTGGAAAAGCTTATCCTTCTTACTGAATGGAGGGGGGAAAATTAGGAAAAAATATGTTAAAACCTACCTTGCCGAGATGCCTATCATGGTTAATGTTTTTTAAGGGGGGGTCGACTTAAATTGTGTATGGCTTGGATATAAATTTCCACTATTTTCCCCCAAAATGGAATCTGTAAGTTCTTTCAAATCCCCAAATTTGATATTTTAGAGGATACTACGGACTGTGTTTTTTAAATTAATCTTTTTATCTTTTCTCTTTTTGCATTTTTAGCCAATTGCAGAGAACAGTATGAATAATGCATTAATGTACTTTTAAACAATGTAATTTATTTGGAAATTCTAATACCTCTGCTTTTCTTTGAGAATAATCAGCTTTGAAATAAGATCCACAATAAATGCTAGTCTATTAGGAAAAAATACTGTAAATAATCATTTTGATTCAAAAACATGCTCAGGATTTTTTTTTCTTGAGAGATGTGTCCACTTTGCTTGACTTGACACAGTAAAATTAGAACAAAAGCAAGGAACTCTTTTACTATTATGTATTTTATCTTGTAAAAAATAACTTAATAAAACAGTATATTAAAAACAACATTGTAAAATTTAGTACATATAATAAAAGAACACTCAGGAAAAAATACAATATGCACTTTATTTTACAGCAATGAACATCAAAATTTTTAATAAGCCACAGTTTATCTTCCATGTGAATAGCAAATGCTATCTTATCCTAATGTTTCACAGCAACAGAAATACTAGGAATTAAAACTTAATTCCTCTCCCAGCACTCAGGAGACTGAGGCAGGAGAATCACTCTGAGTTCGAGGCCAGCCTGGACTACATAGTGAGTTCAAGGACAGCCTGAACTACATAGCATCTGTCTCAAAAAATTTTTTTCTTTAATTACCCCCTCTAAAACAAATGGAAGCAAAAAAAAAAAATCATTAAAGTGGTTCCTATGTGTTGCTTGAAATTATATAAGAATCATAATAATTTAGGAGTATAATATTCTTCAATCATAGTACTTTTAAAACTATCAGAATACTGTACAACTGGGCCAGGGATTTAGCTCAGTGGTTTTGCCACCTGCTGTGCAAGCGCAAGGACCTGAGTTCGATCTCCGGTACCAAAAAAAAAAAAAAAAAGAATACTATACAATGAGCATTGACATTGTTTTGTTTGTTTCTTTTTTTGCTTGTTTTTTACGAGACACAGTCTCACTCTGTAGCCCAGGCTGGCCTCAAACTCACCTCAATCCTCCTGCCTCAGCCTCCCCTGCTGGGACTGCAGTTGTGTGCCACTACTATGCCTGGCGAGGGGTTTTGTGAAATGAAACCACTGATCTTTATTGTTGTTATTATTCTGGACCTCTCTTAATTTTCTCACCTACTTCTAACAAGATCCAGATTCTAGAAGTTTGAAAAGACCTCCTCCACACACACATACATATGTATGAAAAGATATACACACATGAATGAATGTATACAGGCGTGCATGCACACATACATGCAGACACACATGCGCACGTGCACACACACGGATATGGTGAAGCACTGTGAGGACAGGGTTGATTTGCATTTTAAAATGTAGAAAAAGGAATTCAGATGTGTCATGTACAGGTACCCATTCCCCACAAGGAATGTAAACATGTACTAACAAAATCAAATAAAGAAAAAAGAAATCTTTTAAAAAATAATGGCTATATAAGAAAACAATATCTTCGGTCTAAATATCATTTCTCATCTTGATTTTAAGCCCCTCCTCCAAAAAAGATGAATCACAGGAATATAGTAGCTGTCTCCCCAAAAATGGATGCAGGCATTTCAGAGAAATGGTTTAACCTAATCTTGAACATATTTTTTTCTGTGACCCATTTGTACTGTTTTGTAACTGCCATTGAGTTCCTGTACTGGAATGGACATAAAACAATTTATTAATCTTAATTTTAAAAAATATAATCCAGAGCTGGGTGTGGTCACACACATCTGTGATTCCAGCACTCAGGAGGCTGAGAGTTCAAGGCCAGCCTGGGCTACATAGTGATACTCTGTCTCAAATAAAATAAATATATAAATAAAAGGGCCAGGGATTTAGCTCAGTGGTTCTACTGCCTGCCTCTAAAGTGCAAGGACCCAAGTTCGATCTCTGGTACCAAAAAAAAAGAAAAAAAAAAAAAAATATATATATACACACACACAAGTCAGGAGTCACTTTTTTCCTTGTCTTCTCGTTGAAAAGGCCACAAGAAGGAGAGGTCGGACAGCAGGCCTGAGAGGGACCTGCCCAGCCACACGTGTGTAACTTGTGGTCCCTTGGTTACACAGCAGCAGCCAGGTGGGTTAGTGACCGTAGCAGCCTCATTCACTCCTCCTCTGCAGGACTCAGGCTTCATATCCTCCAGGCAGCTTCCTTCCAGAGCCTCAGGAGCATCAAGCAGGAAGTTCGGCCTCTGTGGGTTCTGACGACCGAAGACCAGAGTCCTAGAACGGAGCCAGCCAGGCCAGCGTCTCCTGACCTCGAGACTCATCCTGAGTAAACATTATTTCTATTGGATCTGAAAAGGGAAACAAAGGCAAAGTAGGAGGGGTGGCTCGCCGTGTGCACGGAAACAGGCCGAGAGCCTTCACTGTCCCTCCAGTCACACCCAGGATACCCGCCCCACCCTGAAGACCGAAAAGGCCTTTGCCAGTTTTCTTCATCAACTTTTACTGAAAGGACTATGAAGTAAGAGGAAACTCAGAAGGCCCGGATCACTTTCCATGGTGAAAATTCACTGGGCTGGACCTGAGCGAATATCTAGTCCTAGACTTCACACTACAGAGACTGAAGTTCGGAAGCAGAAACTGTCTCAAACCAGATTTGTAGATGTCTCAGCTAGAACCTAGATCCTGTAGGCATTTCCAGCCTATGTGGCCTCCTCACTGGGGTAGAGAACATGAAAAGCCCACCCCAGTAGACACATTCAGAGCCTTGAAAACAGTCATTCTGGGACCATCACACAAATTCATTGTAAAACTCATTCAAGTGAGCCAGGTGTGGTGGTATATGCCTGTGATCCCAGCACTTGGGAGGCTGAAGCAGGAGGATAACTGTGAGTTTGAGGCTAACCTGGGCTACATAGTGAGCTCAACTCCAGTTCGAGCTACACAGCAAGACTCTGTCTCAAAAGACCAAAATAATAATAATAATAATAATAATAATAATAATAATAATAATAATACGGGGCCGGGGATTTAGCTCAGTGGTACCGCGCCTGCCTCACAAGCACCAGGCCCTGAGTTCAATCCTTGGTACCGCAAAAAACAAAACAAAAATAATAATAATAAAATAAAACTAGAGGTGGTGGCCCATGCCTGTAACCCAGCACTGGGGAGGCTGAAGCAGGAGATTCACTGTAAACTCAAGGCCAACCTGAACTACATAGCAAAACCCTGTTTCAAAAAACCAAAAAATGAGGGGCTGGGGATTTAGCTCAGTGGTTCCGGCGCCTGCCTCACAAGCACAAGTTCCCCAATTCCATCCCCGGTTCCAAAGGTACCAAAAACAAAACAAAACCAAAAAATGAAAAAAAGAAATATGTGCTCTTAATTGCTGGTACCCTGACCACCACATTTAGGGTCTGCATAGTTCATACTGGCTATTATCCTGAAGCTTCCCTTCTAATTTGTCATGGTATTTGGGAAAAGATTATGATAAGTCTGAAAAATCGCCTTGGGCTCCCAGAGGAGAAATGGGTGAGGGATGCAATGGGAGAGGAGAGGTCATCCCAGTAAGAATGCTGGGAGGAGGGAGGCCGGCGCTCTCCAGGCAGGAGCTGGTGTGGAGGAAGTTTGGTGTGAGGAGTCCAGTTCGGAGGGTTTCTGTGTTCCTTCCGTTGCTTTCCGTGGGTGTTAGTCAAAGGAGACATCGCCGGTTCTCATCACATTTCCGTTTTTCCAGTTCCGGGGACAGAACCCAGGGGCACTCTACCCCTGTGCTCCGTGCCCCGCTCCTTTCTGTACACTGTAATTTTACTCGAGACAGGGTCATGCTAAATTGCCGAGGCGGTCCTCCAACTTGCGATCATTCTGCCGCAGGCTTCCGCTGAGCTGGGATTACCGGCCTGAAACAGTGGGCCCAGCTTCCTGAGTTAAATTTAAAAAGGGGCGGGGCGTGTGATCCCACCCCCCAGACCCCAGACCCCAGCTCTGGACAATGCTGAGGCAGAAGGTTTGCCAGAGTTTAAGGTCAGGCTGGGCTACAGACAGCGTCTGTTTCAAAAAAACAAAAAAGAAAAAAAGGGGTGTGGGGTTGGGGGATGGAGCTCAGTGCAAAGGCCCTGGGCTCCATCTTCAAAACTGAAAAAAAAAAAAAGTGTGTTTTTTTAAAAACAGGAAATAAAAAAGCACTCTGAGGTTGGGTGTGAAGAACGATTGCTCTACAACACAGAGCTGGGGTCCACTGCCTCACTGGCTCACAGCTGCCTCTAAAGCACGGTGACAGTCCCTCTTCCACCCACAGGCTTACTGCTAGAATGCAACTCTCATTCAAATATACAAATCTCTCTCTCTCTCTCTCTCTCTCTCTCTCTCTCTCTCTCTCTCTCTCCTTGTTCTTTTTTGCAACAGAGTTTTGCTATGTAGCCCAGGCTAGCCTCGAACTCAGTGATCCTCCTGCCTCAGCCTCCAGAGTGCTATTTTTCTTTCTAGAATCAAAGATGAGAAACCACTGAGCTGAGAAAAGAAGAGTCAGGAATCCTGAGGTTTCTCTCTGGCTTGCCTTGAGCTCCACGGGGACCAGACAGACTGTGCTTGGAGAAAGGCAGTGCAGGTGGCCGTGCCCACTTCCCCTGGCTCTCTAAGGCCCCTTGGAGCTGTCTGTGTGCACAGCTCCAAGCCCCAGGCTGTCCTGGGATCACTGTTAGCCAGGCCAGCCGGGGACAGCCCCAGCAGGTCCTGTCTGCTGCCCTACACCGCTGGGTAAGGAGGCCTGCTCTGTGAAGTCCTTCTGAGGTCTTCAGGAAACTTGGGAAGGCAGTGATGTTGACATCGAAACTCAGTGATTGTCAGAAGGGCCAGGCGCAGCAGCTGCCCCTGACCAGGTGCCCCAGCTTTCCTATCTGAGGGACAGGCCTGCCCGTGGCCACCAGAGGACAGGGAGGGAGGGACAAAAAGGCCAAGGTGTCAGCTCAGAGGCCCTGGCCTTGGGCATTTGGGAGTCACTAATGTCCACACCCACAAATTGAAAACAGAAAGTAAGTAAAACACAGCACTTAATGCCTTCATGGTCCAAGTCTAATGCACATAAGGTTTTTGTGAGACAAGGTCTCACTCTGTAGTCCAGGCTGGGTTTGAACACCTGGCAATCCTCCTGCCTCAGCCTCCTTCATGCTGGGATTACTGTCATGCAGCGCCACATCCAGATCACCATCAATTTCTTTTTTTTTTTTTTTCCACCATCAATTTCTTAATCCCCAAATACAAAAGCCTGGGAGTGAAGATTCATGCAAAGTTACTGCCCACAACACATTCAGGCTGACAAATCACTGATACCTATGCCCCACCTGCAGCAAGGCTTTCAGGCGGTAGATAGGCAAATACAGCAGAGCTGCTGGTGAGGTGGGCAGGGTGCAGGCCACAGCCGGGATGCAGTTTAGGGTGCCCCGCCCCCTTCCAACGTGGGGACGGACGCAGGGGCCTGGCCTTCGCCGCTCGCTCTCTCACTCTGCCCATTTTCTCCCTGACCTGGCACCACCCACAGACACTTTGTCCTGCCCACCTCCAGGGAGCCCTTCTGGGCGTGCCGCTCCCTAGTCTCACAGGCCCTCACTGCTTTACAGCTGGGGTACTTGGTTCACTTTTGTTTGAAATCCCGGGTCTTTGAAATATCTTGGACTTCTAGATAGTTCTATGTACCTGCCTGTAACCCGTGATGCAGAAAATGATCAGGAATTGACATGAGATAAAAATGGTATTTGGGGTCCCAGGATTTAGCTCAGTGGTCCCACCGCCTGCTTTGCAAGCCAAAGGTCCTGAATTCGATACCCAGTACCAAAAATAAAAAATGATATTTGGTGGTCCACGACTGTAATCTCAGCACTTAGGAGGCTGAGGCTGGAGGATCTCTGTGAGTTTGAGGCCAGCCTGGGCTACATAGTGAGTTCAAACCCAGCCTGAACTACAGAGTGAGACCCTATCTCAAAAACCAAAATAAACAAAAAAGATAATTTTTACCTATGGATGCATTAGAATGAGAAGTGCATATTAAATTATTTAAGAATATAAGATGGGCCTGAAAAAGATCATCTAGCTGTTTGTTCATGGGTTAGTGCTTCTATCCCAATCATAAGCCTTCAAATTAAATGACCAGCCACAGCCCTGTAGGAGGTTGATTTAACTACAAAAGTTTGGGTTCAAAAATGTAATTTGCTGTTCCACTTTCCCCAGCTTGAATTTTGATTTCTGCATTGAAATACAACATAGCCCTTGACTGAAGTTTCCTCTTCTTAAACAGGAGGCTCTTCTCTTCTCTCCGAACCCGGTAAATGAACTGCACTGCCACATAATGGATAGGAGACTCGGCTGTCACAGATCCTGAGCAAACCCTGGCCACAGAAATAATAAGATCTGGCATTTCTGAGTTTGAAAATGCGCCATTTGGAGGCCATGAGGCCAGGACTGCTCAGACGGCTCTAAATTAATTTCATGGTCTCTCCGAGGGCTGAGGACCCAGTGCTGAGAATCAGCTTTTCCCCCGGTTGGAAACCAGGCGTTTTCTTGCTTGGTTCCTAAATAAGTAGGAGAGCTAACACACTGGGATCAGACAGTGAGTTCAAGAGCACCCTGAACTAATAATGAGACTGTCTCAAAGGCACAAGCAAAAAAGAAAACACAACAACAACAACAAAAATGTTGATTTTTCTCAGACGTTTGCTGAGAGTCAAAGCTATTTCTAAACTCATCTAAGTTTGGTTGCTGTCACAGAGTTTCTAACAGAATTTCAAATGAGATGTTCTCTGACATGAACCAATGAACAATTTAAGTTTAGATTTTGAAGTGGAAACTAAACGCCCAGAGATTTCAAAGCCTGTCCTCATCAGCTCTAGATCATCTCCATCAACATCAGTCTATAAATCCTTCAGCTCAAAAATAACCAAACACGTCAGATCATAAATAACACCAGCCATGGGCCGGGGATTTAGCTCAGTGGTTCCGGGGCCTGCCTGGAAAGCACAAGGTCCCAAGTTTGATCTCCGGTACCAATAAATAAATAAATAAATAACACCAGCCATAAAGTCACAGCAAGCCATTTCTTTGCCTCCGAGTCACTGCCTCTTGGCACTGTAGCTTCCTCCCAGCAATGCTGCCGTGTCATACAGAAGCGAGACTGACCCTGCTTCATCCGCTCCACCTTTATCCTGGGTATGCTGCTCTACACTCAACTCAAACACCAGCTCTACAGATGGCATTGTTAGAAAGTATGACTGTGGGAGGCCGAGGGAGGAGGGTTGCAAGTTCAAGTCCACCTGGGCTATGGCTACTTAGGGACTTAGCAAGACCTTGTCTTAAAATAAAA